GGCCACTTAGGGCAGGGGCCAGCTCTGACAGCTGGGTCCTATGCATAGCAGCACGTTTATTGTTTTGATGTCTCCGGAGAACGCTGGTGTCGGAAACAATCCGAGCCGGCGTCAACTCATTGGACCCCGACCGCAGCATTCGCACGACGGGCCCAGTGACAACTACACTTATCCGGCGCTGCACTTCTGCGTCCTCCGACACCACAGGAATAGCGAGGCCACCATATCGCACTGGTAATGCCAGCAGCTTCCGCTCCGAATCAGAAACCTCAGTCCGGCCAGTTAACGTAGGGATATAGTTATTATTTATGACATCATCCAGTGGTCTGTACGAAGAAGCCAACCCTGGATGACTTCGGAAGTGATAATTCCACTTGCTCTTCATACCACGGACAAATGCGGAATATGCGGCGTGGGGCTGTGTAAGCGAGATGTCAGCCAAGAGGCTCATCTCCCGCACCCAACTCGCAATGTGGCTATCGAGATTATCGGCAATGAACGTCGACTGGCCAACAGCACCTCCCAGGTACCTCGCTCCCCCAGTTCGTATTGCAATACCGGTGGCATCGAACATGTCAACGGCCGCCCGCTCCAGATCCGGCTTGACAAGGAGTGTCGTCTTTGAGGCATTGGGGAAATAACCATACTCCGGTCCAATGTCAGACAAAGCCAACCAAAACTTGTGCACGTCCATCATCCTTCCACCAGCCTCGCCGTCATCCGCATACCAGCACTGGCCAATAGATGGGTGGTCACTTGACAGGCGTCTGATCATAGGGCTAATAGCCAGCGCAAACAGTGCCATGGCCAAAGGATCGCCCTGGCAAGTACCCTCTCGAGACGAGATCCTGTCACCACCCGGCAGAAACAACGATATTGGAGCGCCATATGTGTTTTGGAAGATTGTGGATACGGCAGGACACACTCGAGGAACGTTATGAAGCGCTGCCTGTCTGTTAACAGCATTAAATGCATTAGACGCATCTATGAACAAAATAGCCTCTGTTTCCGGATCCAAATACTGACTCTGCACAGCAAGGACCGCAGCCTCACACGCAGATGGCATGCCCACACAAACCTGAAATGGGGCTACAGCCGCAACAACATCAGTGGAGACGCAATCCAATATAGCTTTAGCGATAATACGGCGGTGTACTTCACCAACAGCTATCGGTCTCACACCTATACTGGAAGTAGCGCCAGCAGCATCACCAGCAGACTTTTCCAAGGGAACAAGGCGAGCTGCCACGAACGCTGACAGAATCTGAGGATCGACAACCTCCCTGCAGAGTCGCTTCGCTGCTGCAGCCAACGCCGATGCAAGGTTCGCCGATGCCCCCTTGAACACCGTGAGCATTCTCTGCCAGGCAGCGACGTCCAGTCCCGATGGACCTCCCGACCCAGAACTCTTCATGCGGCCAGCTGTCTTTTTGATTTTTTCTGCTGAAATCGTTTCAAACATAATTTGGTTGGGCAGATCTGGTTCACAGTCCAACAATATTCCCTCGGCTGGATCCACAGGAGCAGGGTGCTTCTTCTGAAGCACGTCACGGACCGTCTCACCCGAGGATTGCACCGCAATATCATTAGCCCGGAGAGGTTTGCCACACCGCCCCTCTGACAAACCAGACAGAGCCTGCCCCAGCCGACCACCGTGCACAAGCTTGGCAAAATCCGTGTCCGACATCCCACTGTCTCCACCACCGCCAGCAGACCCCGAGCGGGGACGCAAGTGAGCCTGGACGCAACGGGACTCCTCCAACAGTGGCTGCAAGTCACCAGCAGCCCACATGTCCATGCGCCGCTGCAGATGCTCTGTATTCTCCTTGCTTCTGCTGTGCGGCTCAGGTCGCTGCAGCAAGAGGTGACTAGCAACCGCCACACACTCCCAAGCGACACAGGCAGCTGGACCACCAGATGCAAAAGTGTTTATGAAGTCCGCGATAATGTTAACGAAACGCTTGCCAGTGGAACCCGAGGGGTCATAAAAAGGTTCCGCTGCCAGCACACAACCTGTCCATATGCAGTCCGCATCCAAATAGCCAATTCCGCATGCCGTGACCATAGAGGAGCAACTAGGGGAGCATGAGCAACCCCAGCAACGACATGGTCGCCACCATCCCCAGACTGCACAGGGCGACTCGCTCCCGAACATCGTGGGGGCGGCAGATCCACACGCAAACACTCCGAAGACACCGGCGCAGGCGCAGGAGCAGACGCATGAGTATCTCCTGTTGTTCGATCGCGGGAAGACTGAGGCCCGGAACTTGGTACATGCCCAACCATGCCGTGGCGAGGCAGCGCAGATGCAGAGGCAGGAACAGACACCTGAGAATCTCCTAATGCGTCATCACGGGAAGACTGATGTCCGGAACTTGGCGCAGACCCAGCCGTCACCGCCGAGGCAGAGCTCCGAGTTGCTATTGTGCGAGAGTGTGAGCCACATGGCGGAGGAACAGAGCCCAACACATCCCGGAACCATGGGGCACCCAGCCAGGAGGTCGAAAAGGTGGAGCGCTACACAACGATTCGTCCACACCCATTCCAACAACTGCGGTCTGCAGATTCACGTTGCCAAAATTCGTACATTTATTGTCTCTGCCAGGGTAACAGTTGCTGCAGCAGCGTCCATCCGACGCACACGAACATGACTTGCAAGTCCCAGACGCTCTGCTGCAAGCGCAGCACGGTCGACCGCTCACAGCGCGTGACCGCGACATCCCATAGACACAGCACGGGCACACTGCATGCAAGGACCTAGCCCTAGCCTTAGGTGTAAACAGTGCGTCTACATGCAATGAGTAGTGTCAACTCGACTCGTCCCATACCAAGTACGCATCCAGAGCGCCATTGCAGGCAGTACAGGGCCAAACCACAACGTGTGCACAGCACAGCAAGCCAGCTCAAACAGGGCCCAAGGCCCGCACGCTCAAACGTGCCCAGCACGGACCAACGGCTATAATGGCCGATTCGCAGCGCAAGAAACCAGCTGAATGAAGGACTGGCGGGCCGGACGAGGCCAGAAGGAAGCAAACTACTCGAGCCGACTCCACATGTCACAAAGAAAGTAATTGAAAAGGCTTCAAACCGATTGAATTGAACAGTGGAGTAGAAAATTAGAGAATAACGGAGAATAACGGAGAATAACGGAGGAGCAAAAAGCCCAACCGCCCAGTGTACCAGTAGTAGTTATAGCGAGGTTCGTTATAGCGAGGTCTGACCTGTATTACACCCAATATCTGTACAGTGACTATGTACTAGCAAGAGTTCATAACCCCCATGAACGAGACACTTTTTCGAAAGTTGTGGAAGATCCAGCTCGCCCTGCACAGCTACGCCTACCCCTTGGGCCTCCACCTGCGGTGCACTTCTCGGAATTCTTGCCAGTCTCCATTGCAACTACTCGGAAAATGTTGGAACAGTTGGACACCAGAAAAGCCACTGGGAGTGATGATATTCCAGCAAGTCTCCTCCAGATGCATGCTGACATCCTGGCACCGTCACTCACGCTACTATTTAATAAGTCATTGAGAGAAGGACAGTTTCCTGCGGCAATGAAGGTGGGTAAGATACGGCCTCTGTTCAAGGCTGGAGACCCCAGCCAACCCAAGAATTACCGACCAGTCTCCCTATTGCCGATAGTGTCGAAAGTGCTTGAACGTATTGTTCATAAGCAGCTTCTGCAGTACCTCAACACGAACAATTTCTTGCCTACTAGTCAGTTTGGTTACAGACACCAGCATTCCACAGCAGATGCCTTAGCGCTAGCTGTAGAGAACATCAATGAAGCACAAGCCGCTGGGCAGCACATAGGAGTAGCATTTGTCGACATGTCTAAAGCTTTCGACAAGGTAAAGCATAGCATTCTGGTTGAGGACCTCTTTGAACTGGGTCTCACTAGCACTGCTTTGCAATGGTTTTCAGACTACTTGATGTATCGCCGGCAATACGTGGAGACAGGAAAAACCAGAAGTACAACTTATGACAGCCAGTCAGGGGTTCCTCAGGGGTCAGTTCTCGGACCTTTGCTCTTCGTTCTGTATGTGAGGGATATTGCCGGCGACCTTGCCCCTCATGACGTCACCACTATTCAGTTTGCTGATGACATCTCGCTGCGTGGGAGCAGTCCACAGCCAGAAGTTGTCTCCCAGCGCCTCACTGCAGCAGTTCAGTACCTGGCCACTTGGTTGAAGAAACGTGGACTGATCCTTAACGAGACCAAGACGCAGATACTCGCCATACCACACCATAGAGCTGCAGCCCTCGACATCAATGTTGTATGCAATTCACAAGTCCTACCAGTAGTCACATCTGCCAAATACCTTGGCCTGCATTTTGACTCGGACATGAGTTGGACCACAATGGTGGACCATGTTGCTCGTCGTGTTGCCGGCAAAATTGCTGTCCTGCTGCGACATGCTTCCTCGCTGCCGTATCCATGCCGACTCACCTACTTCAGATCTATCGTTTTGCCTGAATTTTTGTATGCTTCTATTAGTTACTACCCGTATTTGACAGTTGCCCAGGAAAAACGGCT